GGCACAGTTCTCAGCTGTGAACTAGTCCCTTGGAAACCCTCTAAGCTAAGCATGATGATGCTCGTCTCCCCTTTGCAGATGGAGAAAACGAGGCACAGAGAGGTCAAGCAACTTGCCCAAAGTCCTACAGCTTGTGCACGGGACATCTGGGATTCGGATCCAAGTGGTCTGGCTCCACCACCCCAGGCTCTTAACCATAGACATCACCAGTCCCCCTTGTTTCCCAATAATGCCCTGCCTTCTCCCTTGCAACTCACTCTACTGGCACCAGAGAGAGAGAGAGAGAGGGAGACGGCCTACAGGTGGAAGAACAGCTCTGGGGCTTGACAATTTGAGATAAAGTGACCCTTTTGACTCCCCAAGAGGGACAGGCTTATGGAAAAGGATGCAGGCTCTGTAACATGAGTTCCAATACCAGCTCTGTCATCTGCTGGCCATGTGTTTCTCACCAAGGACTCCCCTTTCTTGAGCCTCAATTTCCTCACTGACAAAAAGGGTTCACAATAGACTTAGCCTGTAGGGCTGGTGTGGGGACACAGTGTGATAAGGCAGCCTTGCATACATTAGCATACGTGACCCTTGAACAACACAGGTTTGAACTCCATAGGTCCATTTATACACAGATTTTCTTCCCTCCTGCCATCCCTGAGACAGCAATAATGCCAACCTCTCCTTCTTCTCCTCAACTCAACATAAAGACAAGGATGAAGGCCTTTATGATGATCCACTCCCACTTAGTGAACAATAAACATACTTTCTCCTCCTTATGATTTTCTTCTTTTCTCTAGCTTACTTACATTTATTTATTTATATATATATTTTTTGACAGAGTCTCGCTCTATTGCCCAGGCTGCAGTGCAGTGGCACAATCTCAGCTCACTGCAGCCTCCACCTCCTGAGCTTAAGCAATTCTCCTGCCTCAGCCTCCCGAGTAGCTGGGATTACAGGCATGCACCACCCCACCTGGCTAATTTTTGTATTTTCAGTAGAGATGAGGTTTTACCATGTTGCCCAGGCTGGTCTTGAACTGATGACCTCAGATAATCCACCTGCCTCGGCCTCCCAAAGTGCTGGGATTATAGGCATGAGCCACTGCGCCTGGCCTAGACAGTATATAATGCAAGTAACATATAAAATGTGTGTTTATCAACTGTTTATGCTACCAGTAAGTTTTCAGTCAGCGGTAGGCTATTATCAGTTAAGGTTCTGGGGGAGTCAAAAGTTGTGCTCTAGTTTTTGACTGCAAGGAGGTTGGCACCCGTAACCCCAGAATTCTTCAAGAGCCAACTATAGACAGTAATAGCATTTTGCAGGGATAAGAAAACTAAAGCCCAAGGGCCAAATCCGGCCCATGGCCTATTCTTTCTTTCTTTTTTTTTTTGAGATGGAGTCTTGCTCTGTCTCCCAGGCTGGAGTTCAGTGGCGCGATCTCAGCTCACTGCAACCTCTGCCCCTCGGGTTCAAGCAATTCTCCTGCCTCAGCTTCCAGAGTAGCTGGGATTACAGGTGTACGACACCATGCCCAGCTAATTTTTTTGTATTTTCAGTAGAGATGAGGTTTCGCCATGTTGGCCAAGCTGGTCTCGAACTCCTGACCTCAAATGATCTGCCTGTCTCGGTTTCCCAAAGTGCTGGGGTTACAGGCGTGAACCACCACACCCGGCTGGCCTATTTTTATAAGTTAGGTTTAATGGGAACATAGTGCATTTGTGTATGTGTGGTCTCTGGCTGCTTCTGCCCTATGGCAGACTTGAATAAAGTGTGACAAAGACTGGCCCCCAAATCCTCAAATACTTGAGATCTGGCCCTTCCCAGAACAAACGTGCTGTCCCTGATATGCAGAAAGAGCTCAATATTATCCTGACGGAATGGCATTCAACTCAGGCCTCCAAAACTTCTCCACCAGGCACAGGTTAACAAAAGATTCTGGAAACGCTGCACTCCACTTAATTATTGCTACACTCTATGTGCCAAAGCTAATCAAGAATAGAGACAGGAACCACCTGGACCACTTAGACAAGGCTGAAACTGCAAGGGAGAAAGGAAGCTTTCCTTTCTAAATCTTTCCATTTGAAAGTATTGTGTAGGCCAGGCACTGTGGTCCAGGCCTGTAATCCTAGCTACTCTGGGAGGCCGAGGTGTGTGGATCATTTGAGGTCAGGAGTTTGAGACCAACGTGACCAATATGGTGAAAACCCACCTCTACTAAAAATACAACAATTATCCAGGCGTGGTGGCAGGCACCTATAATCTCAGCTACTCAGGAGGCAGAGGCAGGAGAATCACCTGAACCTGAGAGGTGAAGGTTGCAGTGATCTAAGATGGTGCCACTGTGCTCCAGCCTGGGCGACAGAGTGAGACTGTCAAAAACAACAACAACAAAAAGCACACACACACAAAAAACCAGATATAAAACAAAAGTACTGCATAGACACATGCTTGTTACTAGAAACTAAAATAATATAGATGCACTTGTTTAAGCTGTCCCTGCTGCCACCCTGTCCCTGCAGACAGGGCCCACAAGGAAGGTTTGCTGTCTGTCCATCCAGGCCTCTTTCTGTGTACTTAGTGTATATGGCCACCTCCTAGCTGATCTAAATCCTCTATTCTGTGACCAGTGCTAAACACAGAGGCACATATTTAAAACGAAAACCACCTCTAATGAACTGGGTCACCTGGCATAGGTCTCTTCCCCTCTATGAGCCTCATGTCCTTATCTGTCCAGGGAATCCAATGAAGAGTTCTCTAAGAGGTCCTTCTAGGCTACTTTTCTGGGGAGCCATTCTCAGGTTGCACTTCCTTTCTGCATCAAGAGAGTTGTGTGAACTGAGTATCTGCCTTCTCAGGAGGACACCAGGCAAAGCCTTGTGTAGCTCCTGGATGCACCAATGCTGGGGGAACGGAAAGCCCTTACTCCCCAGTTCTGCAGCTGGCTTGATTCTCTGACTCTATGCCTTGACATTGAGCAGCACCTCAGTGGATCCTTTCCAGCTGTATCTGTTGACCCTGACACCTCCCCAAACTCCATCTAGCTTGACTCTGATATGCCCCCAACCCCACTGGAGCCCCCAGAGCTCTCTGTTGCCTCCATGCTCATTTAAGGGTCTTTTACCTTCGGCGATAACAAAAGTAGGTGTTGGCATTTGGATTTAGAAGCAACAAGGGAGTATTGTGAACCTCTGGCCACTTTGTGAGGGACAGCTGGGCTGGCTTTGCAGTGTGGCCCAATGAGAAGGAGGGATGGCCAGGAGTCAATAGTGAAGTAGGCTCCCAGGGATGGTGGAGCAAAAAGACCCCTAGAATACAAGCTGCTCCCTGAACAGATAAGAAATCCAGGACCTGAGAGCAGAAAGGACTCTCCCTATTAGCTGGTAGCTGAGCTTGAATGAAATCCACACCCGTTTATTTCAAATGCATTCCTCTCTGTTTGTTGCTAGTGGCACCGACTCTTTGTGGGAAGGTGCCTTTTGGATGCTGTCACCCTCTCCACAGAGAAAACCACTGAGCAAACGAATTCACAAACGTTTTGAGAAGTAAGATCTTCTTCAAGGAAAAAATAAAATTTGAGAGTGTTCCCAGAGGCTGGATTATCATAAGCTAAGGTGGCAGGGGCTAGCGGGAGGGAAGGGGGCATGCCCTAAACAACAGTGACCACGAGTCAATAACCAGCGACCATGTGGCTGGGTCATGGGTACATTGGGGTTCTGTCTACTCTGAGTGGGTCTGAAATTTCCTGCCGTAACAGTAAGCTTGTAAGGTCACGTAAAGGCCATGCGACCTCGGGAGAGGGATTTTACATCTCTCATCTGAAAAACATTGGGCTCATGACATCAGCGTCAGCCTCACAAAGTGGTGGATGTCATTAACAAATTGACTGCACAGAGCCTGGTGCTGTGTCCAGCACACAGTGAAACCTTACTAGCCACCTGCGGCTGCTGTCATTCCCCTTCCAAGGGCACTAGAGAAGGGGAAAATCACCACCAAGAAATATACATCAATGGCATGATTACACATGTGCTAGTGAAACTGGTCTCCCCATCTTCAGAGGGCCCCTCCACTCTGCCTGTGACTTTCTGGATCAGAGCTCTGATCCATCCCTATGTCTCAGCAAGAGAGCTGGTTTATCACCAGGTCATCAGCACATAGAAGAGTGCCAGTGAGGGGAAAGAGGGAGGGGAAAAGGAAAGAGCAAGGAAACGTGAAAGGAAGGAAGGAAGGAATGAAGGAAGGAAGGAAGGAAGGAAGGGAAGGAGGAGAGAAAAAATAGGAAAGAAGAGGGAAAAAAGCAGGAAGGAATGTAATAAGGGAAGAAAGAAAATAGGAAGAAAAGAAAGGAGAGAAAATTAAAATAAGGAAGAAAGGAAATAGGAAAGAAGGAAGGGGGAAGAGAGGAAAATAAGGAAGGGAATGAGAAGAGAGAAGAAAAGGAAAGGAAGAAAGCAAGCAGGAAGAAAATAAAAGAAGGGAGGTAAAAGGAGAATGAAAATAAAGGAATGGGAAGGAAAGAAGAAGGGAAATAGGAAGCAAATGAGGAAGAAAAAGAAGAGGGAAAGAAATTTTCAATAAAGAAAAATGGACAGAGCCTCTGAAGTTAATGCAACCGATTAGAAACCTCTCAAATCATAATCAATTACAGTAATATTCATGTCAATTCTAATCCCAGTATTCTGCTGAAAAACAAACCAAACCATATCAATACAGCTCCCTTGGCTCCTGCAAACATCACATCAGCTCCCGATTTCACTCTAATTTCATCCTTTGCCATAAACGCAATGGGTTAAAGCACCTACAAAAGGTAATCTGATTTTACAAAATTTTTCTGATACAAGACTTCAGCATTCAGGGAGTACTAGAACACATCAGATCTCACGTGCTCATCCGGGGTTTGGAAAACAGGGCAACCTCTCTCAGGAGCTCTGAGAAGGTGAGCAGAATGGGGCTGGGCAGAAGGAGGAAGTGGCCAGGAGATCTCTCTCTGAGCCACTGGGGCTGGAACTTACCCTCCAGGGGGCAGAACCGAGTCACCTTCTCAGGCATCAGCAGCCCTAACTTGTGGCGGCAGTAGGTCTCCCCAATCTCCTGGCGGCAGTGCTTGGACTTAGCACGGGACAGGGCAGAGATGGCCTCCTTGCCCGAGATGTCACACTTGGGGGGCTGGTCATACTTGGTCTCGGGGGAGCTGCCCCCAGTTTTCCTGGCATGAGGCAGTCTGGACACATCCTTCCCACGGCTGCTGTTGGCTATGGCTCGGTCCCCGGGAGGCAGCACCTCACCGGGGCCTTTCCCAGGGAATGCATGTCCTTTTCCTTTCTCCTGCTGTTCCAGCTTCCTTTTCAAAAGCTCCTTCTGTCTACTCGGTGGCTTCTTCGCCAACTCAGGCTGGTGCTTCTGCTTTTGAGTCCTGGGTGCGAAGTTGCTATTGTCGACATTCTCAAAGTCTTTGGGGACAGAGTTCTCGTTGTTGCTGTCTGTTCGCACTTTCTCTTTTGGCCGGTGAGAAAAGTAGCCATCCTGGAGAAGAGGGGAGAGAAAGAGAAGAGAAACTTGACTGAGCGATCACGCTAAGCGGACTGGCCTTAGGAGAGTGAGTCATACGCACATGGCAGCCTGGGTCATAGTTTCACATCCCACTTTTGCTACTGGTTTAACCTCTGGTAAGATGTTTCTCTCTGGACCTCAGTTTCCCCATGTGGAAATACAAGATGCTCCAACCAGAAACGAAGGCTTTTTCAAGCTCTAAAGGGCCATGACTACGATTCTCAATGCTTCTTATTAACCACACCTTTTCAAGTCAGTTTCTTTCCTTGATTATTTCGCCACTGGGTAACAAACATTTTGTTCCAGCGTCCTGTTTAAATTCCAGCTGAAAGTGCTGTGATGGTTTACTTAAGGGCTGGAAATGATATAATAAAGTTATAAAGGGAAAAATATTGGTAGGATATTATATACATTCCATTGCCTTTAGGACATGCTCATATATCTATGCCCATAAGAGAAATCAGACCGAGCCGTTGTAAATTCCGTGGGAAAGAAATCAGCGGCTTTTTTTTTTTTTTTTTTAAAGAGGAATGCAGCCCTTGCAGGATAAACCTTACGCTAAGTCCTAGAGCAATGCAAACTTGTGACACTGTTGTGCTTGAGTTTGGCTCTTCATGTGTGTATGTGGAACAGAACTGATGAAGTCACTTGGGGTCGAGGCAAAGATCAGGAGTCATTCTGGAGACCACGCGTGGCATGGATGTTTCTAGAAGGGCTGGACCCCAAACTCAGCTCCTCTATGGGTAAATGGGTCCTGGTTACTTTGATCAGTTGAATGATCAAATGCATCATTCAACCAATGCCCCGAATTGTTTCTGCAACACGCTGCTTCTGCTTGAAGCTCATTCCCAAGGCCTTAATCTGAAAGCGTATCCAGTGTCCTAGAACATGGCCCCTTGACCTCTAAAACCACATAGAACAGTAATGGCTCCATATACCTGCCCTTGTTGCTATGGAAACACAGGGGCAATGAGCAGCATCCCTGCTAGATTTCCTTTTAAGGCAGGCTGAAATATGCCTCTTACCAGTTCCCAAGGAAAAAGTGCCAGGGCCTGAACAGCGGAACTGCAGTGGTAGCCAAGAGCAGCTGACCCTCAGCAAGGCTCCCCCAGCAGGTCAGCAAACAACTGCCCGTGTTTTTATAAATAAAGTTTTATTAAGACACAGCCACATCTGTCCATTTGTGTATTGTCTATGGCTGCTTCCTGATACAATAGCAGAGTGAATAGTTGCAATAGAAACTGGTCTGAAAAGCCTAAAATATTTCTATCCTAAAATATTTCTAAAATATTTCTACCCTTTAAGAAAATGTATACAGATCCCTGCTTTGCTGGAGTGTGAGTTAAAAGGCTTCCTCCTCTTGGATTTGGTTAATTGTTTCTGTCCTCACCATCCATATATGACTTAGTGATGGCCTGGAGAAGAAGATGCCCCTAGGACCGGGTGTGGTGGCTCACACCTGTAATCCCAGTACTTTGGGAGGCCGAGGCAGGTGGATCACTTGAGGTCAGGAGCTCGAGACCAGCCTGGCCAACATGGCAAAACCCTGTCTCTACTAATAATACAAAAAAAAAAAAAAAAAAAAAAAAAGAAAAACAAGCTAGGGGTGGTGGTGCACACCTGTACTCTCAGCTAACTCAGAAAGCTGAGGCAGGAGAATTGCTTGAACCTGCGAGGCAGAGGTTGCAGTGAGCTGAGATTGCACCAATGTATTCCAGCTTGGGTAAGAGTTAAATTGTGTCTCAAAGAAAAACAAAACAAAACAAAACAAAACAAAAAAACAAACAACAACAAAAAACAAAACAGATGCCCCTCTAGCCTCTGCTCCATTGCTCTTAGCTGTAAGTACGAACTTCTCCTATTTGGTGGAGGCTCTGACACTAAGACACCTTGTGGCCACTCTGTAAGCTGAGTATGGCTATGACTTTCATTTTGCAGATGGGGAACTAAGCATGCACGAACAAGTGACTTGCCCAGGGTCACCCAGCTAGTTGGTGGTGAAGCTGGAATTCAAACCAGACAGATCACAGACCCCACACTCTGGGCTACCAGGGACACTATCCACTTCCAAGAAATTGTATGATCCTTATTACACCCACCACCCAAAACCCTTAAGCACTGCAAGCTGACACTGAACTGCAAGATCTGTCCCCTCCCACCCAGCTAAATCAATCTGCTCTAGGTGTGTGACCTCCAAATTGCAATCTTCAGGCCGGCCAGTGGCCTACTGTGTTGCAGAAGGTCATAGGGAGACAGTAAGCAGCAGCCACAAAGCATGTGGAGTTTGAGGCTGCAGGAGCTGGGAGGTTAACAAGGCAGGAAGAAGGAAAGAGATCCAAGAAAAAGGAGCTGATCCGTCCCATATTGGGTCACAGGGCGGCTACTGGTCGTACACAGGAACTGCTTTTACATCCAGATCTATAAGTGAGGGCCTTCTGCTTCTGGTCTGTCTGATTCTCCCACAGAGATCTACAAAAAATCCCCTTCAGTGGGTACCTAGACTACATCTTTATTCTTGTAACCTAAACAAACACTGCTGATGTTCCCTGATGTTCCTCTTTTCCCGTTTTTCTATCCAGAGGCCCTTGAAGAGTCCCAAGCAGCCTCTCAGACACATTTTCTGAGCTCTTACCACCAGCCAGGCACCATAGTAAGTTATTCACAGGTATTATATTACTTAATAGGGTACTGACAATTGGATGTATTCGCTTTGCCATTTTATAGAACGAGGAGCCAACGCTGGTTGTGATACATTCTTCAATATGGATCACGTGCTAGGTGCCATGCTAAGCGCATAAATGGAGTATCCAACTTAACTCCTGGAAACAAGTTCCAACGTAGGCACTGACAGAAAAGGGTGGAAAATAAGGTTGGGAATGTTAAGCCATTTGCACAAATTCATCTTGGGGAGGTGGTGAACTTGCATCTGCCCGATTCTAAAACCTGCTATTGTATCACGTCTCCTGTGTTTTGCCGAGAGGTAAATTGAGAAGCATTGAGCTCCCCTGCAGTGGAATGGGTATCACCCTCTTTGCTCCTATCAGCATCTGTCGGGATGAAGCTGATGGGCAGGGGTGGCATTCAATAAAGCTATGAAAAACCATTTCAGTTCCATTCCTTCTAGGCACGTGTTAAGATTGCACGTCCCTATTTCTTGCACATTAGGCACAGACAAGAAACACGATATGGCCAAGAGCAGTGACTGGAACCCATAAGGTGTCATTCCCTGGATACCACAATATCCAGCCACCCTCCTGCTGGTGGAGGTCATGCATCCCTTAGTGAGGCCCATGTGAAGCAGAGACTCCACCAATCCTCAGGTTGCAGAAATTGACCCCTGCTGCTTTGAGTCACTGAGATTTGGGGGATCTGTGTTATTGTAGCATGGTCTAACTCATCCTGATTAATCCAGGAGCCAACCTGATCTCCTTTCTTCCTTTGAGCTGACTTAGGTACAGGAGCCAATTTTTTTCTCCCTCCAACAGACAGAAAAACCTATCTGACGACTCCCATGCTCCAAGAACATAAATTTAAATTCTGTCCCTAAGCCCATTTTCTAGAAGCTTCTAGAAATGTCTAAAGGGCAGGGAGTAAGCCAGAAGAGCTACTGCCCTAATGGACATGTTCATTTTCTCTCTTCAGACATATCCTAAGTGTTATTCTTGGGCTCTTCTCTTTCCTTATTATCAGCAAGGTTCCCCGCCACACAACAGAAAACCTCCACAAACCCCCATTTCAAAAGATCCTGTTCTCCATCACTTTCTGGCTGAACTTCGCCAAGCAAAACCAGACAGAAAACACTGCGATCATCTCCCTCTACCCCCCATGGTCAATGATGCTAATCTGACAATCAGAGAATGGCCAATTCCTCTGGCTAATGTGTAATACCAGGAAGAGGCACCATCACTGATTCTAAAGGGACTCATGACTAATACCTGCCATCTATTCAAGAGACGCCACTACAATGGCAATGATTAGCTTGTGGTGGCCCTGTGAACTTCTGCCTGGCCCCGGATGCTGCAGCCACGGGAAATAAAAAGATTCGAGTATAAGAGGGAAGGAAAATATTTTGTCTTCTGGAATGAAGAGCTCACAGATATTAGATCGTTTCCAGAAAAGTCAGAGAGAGGCGCAGTCAGCGAGAACTGGAGGCCTGAGAATTCCTGTCCCTCAGAGTCGCTGCCATTTTCTATAGTGACTGCTGGAGTTCTCTCTAGCTTCCCCCCTCCAATTCATTTTTTTCTTTTCTTTTTTTTTGAGATGGAGTTTCACTCTTGTCACCTAGACTGGAGTGTAATGGTGTGATCTTGGCTCATGGCAACCTCCGCCTCCCGGGTTCAAGCAATTCTCCTGCCTCAGCCTCCTGAGTAGCTGGGATTACAGGCACCAGCCACCACACCCAGCTAATTTTTGTATTTTTAGTAGAGATGCAGTTTCACCACGTTGGCCAGGCTGGTCTCGAACTCCTGACCTCAGGTGATCCACCCACGTTGGCCTCCAAAAGTGCTGGGATTACAGGTGTGAGCCACCGTGCCCGGCTCATTTTTTTATTTACTATTTAAACACTTTATTTTGCTATGCAACTATAGACAACAATATAGTACTATATGCAACATACAGCAAATTGTATATTGTTGCATGCACTACAATATTGTTGACTACAGTACTGCACAGCAGATCTCTATGGTTTCTTCATTGTGCATGCATGATTGAGACATTATGCCTGTCCATCAGCAACTCCCCATTCTCCTCCCCAATCTCCCAACCCCTGGCAACCACTATTTCACTCTCCAGTTCCAGGATTCTGACGATTTTCGATAGCTGATAGAAGCGGAATAAATACATGTGCTATCTGTCCTTCTGTGACTGGTTTATTTCAGTTAGCATAATGTCCTCATCAGAGTTCATCCATGTGGCTGCATGTTGCAGGATGTTCTTCTTTTTGAAGGTTAATATCCATGGTATGTACGTGC